CCCCCCCCATTGCTTTGTTGTTGTTGTTGTTAGCTAAACTTACCTGCGTATCTGGCGGCTCGGTGCGTGCAAATGTCGGTATCGCAGATGCTCTGTATTCAGCGCATTTCTGGGGAAGAAATAGAAAAAAGATAGTGAGAAATACTCATTTGTATGCAGATAATAATGGTAATGATAAATATGGCAAAGGCATTTAAGTAATGAAAACAAATCAGCGAAAACGAGGAAAAAAAATCAGAGCAAATAGGTTTCTAGAATTTGCATTGAGACGTATTTTTTTTTAGGGGGGGCGGGGATGAGTAAGTTTGCTGCTTTTTTGTACGCTTGTTGGAGGTTAAATTGAGCGCAGGAAAAAACTACTTAGCTGGCCTGTTTGCTTTCGCTGTATGGTTTCTGTGATCCTTTTTTTTAGAAAACTTGCTTGATTTCATTTCCATTTTTGGTTTTCTCTTGGCTTTGGGGAACTGAATTTCGTTCATTTACTATAAAGATAAATCAATTTAAATCGCTCGTAGTCCCAAGCTTTGCTCAAACCAGAACAAGACGACTCACTTAACACTCAAAATGGTAAGGCTTAAATTTTGCGCTCACTTCTAATTTGATTCTAAAGCAAAGAACAGAAAAACTAAAAAGTTAAGGGCAGCGGCTTTTCTTTCAACTGGAAAAGCAAGTCAGTGAAAGAAGCACTTAAGGTAGAAAGCTTTTTGACACATTTAATGCGCCCTTTAACAGAGTAAAAGTACTCCCAGTGCGAAAGTAAAAGCGTACCATACGCATAAACATATTATAATAATTCAGTATTGGAAATATGACTGGCAGACAAAACGGAATAACTAAATACATAGTAAGGGCTGGGACTATTGGTGTACTCGGATATGCGGATGTGCGTTCGGTGCGTGTATACGGATAAAATCTAAAAATTTAAAATTTAAAATTTTTTTTAAGAACGATCATTCTTTGGCAGTTAAAAAGAAAAAGTAAAGCAAAAAAGGACTAAGAATGCATACAGCGGCGAAAATATAAATAGGGAAGAGACATTTAAGCCATCTTTGGCAATTTCCCTTTCGATTATTTAATGTTTATTATTTTTTTAGGAAAGTTACGCGAAATTCGACAAAGTTTCATCAAAATTTTGAGCTTTTTAATTCGATTTCTTAGAAAATTTTTGACTATGCAGTCCATTCCATTTGGAGTTCAATACATTTAAATGTGGGGGTTCAATATCAAATTTTGTGTGCCAGTTATTATACACACAGGAAACGTTCACGTTGTATGTATAACTAGCAGACCCGGCGAACTTCGTCCCGCCCAAAATTTTTTCTTTATTTAAATATTTTGTACAAAGTTTTCACCACAATTCACGTTC